TGGAAGAAATCGGATAATAACCACGCCCACCTTTCACGCCTGAAATCTCGATTATCACTTTATCGTGCGAGAAATGTTCGGTGACACCCGAACTTAGCCCCTCCTTACTTGTTTTTTGTTAAATTTTTTTATAGAAATTTTTATTCTACAACAGAACTTTTATCACATATCATGAGGTATATCGTGGACTATATAAACAAATTTTTTCGGAATTGTTTGATGAAAGCTGTCAGAGAAATGGCCGGGTAAATGAGTCAGACACGATAAATAAAAAAGTTTTAACTTGTTTTTTTTTTTTTTAATTTGTTTCCACGTTGTTTTGCATTAATTTTGTCATAATTTTGTCAATCAATTATAAAAAATATAGTAGGGATAAAAGCCAGACGTTTTGTGAACATTAAAAAAAAATTAAGCAAATCGGTTCAGTAGTTTGACCGGAATTATGTCTGCCAGTTTAAAAATGTGTGTTTTGAGAAAAACGCGTTTAAAATCGGAGGTGTGCACTTCGAGCGCTCCGAACGTCGAGCGGTATTTATTTTTAGTCCTGTTTCGAAACCTTCCAATGGGTTTCTCCATTAATTCTAAGGTTATAAGGGAACAGAAAATGCAAAAAAAAAAAATTTTTTTAAAGATTACCCTACTGACCCTTTAAGATTTTTTTTTACAAAATACTCTGCATTTGGTGTGCATTTTGGCTGCAGAAAAATTCAATAACTTCAGCTGTCCAAACGAAATACCAATTGTGATATTGAAGTTCTACGCACAACGCACTGCTAAGAAGTGTCGATTCATTTAAGCAAAATCAAAAAACGATTTCTTGAAAGTAAATTGAGGGCGTTTAATACTATTGGCAGGTTTACGAAGTCAAGTTACTTCTATTTAATAGCAAATCGAGATATTTATAATTAACATCTTTGATCCTTTGAAAGTACCCTAACCTTTTACGATTCTCCAATTAAAGAATGCTATGAAATCGGTAAACAAATTACGCAATATATCAACCATACTGTTGCTATAAAGTAATTTCATTTACTATTCTCTCAATTCTCGTTCGCTAAATTCAGCCTTCACGAGGAAATATCCCCAAATGGGTTGAGGCTGATCGACTTCGCCGGGGCCTGAAATATGGTTATCTGTAGTACKAGATTCCAGCATAAGAAGATTCATCAAGACCTGGCTGTCTCCAGATCGAAAAACCACCAACCAGATCGATCATGTTGTGATAGATGGAAAACACGTCTCCACTGTTTTAGATGTGCGTGCGCTCCGAGGTCCTAACATCGACTCGGACCACTATCTTATTGCAGCCAAGATTCGCACCCGCCTCTGTGCAGCAAAAAACTCACGCCAATCGCCAATCGATGACGATGAACCATGACCATGAGGAAGTTCGAATAGCAATTACCGCCTGAAGAACAACAAAGCGGCGGGGACCGAGGGATTGCCGGCCGAGCTATTCAAACACAGCGGCGAAGAACTGATAAGGAGCATGTATCAGCTTGCCCAATCCATAAAAAAGGAGATCCACATTCTGCGTCAACTACCGTGGGATAAGCCTCCTTAACATCTCATATAAAGGACTAGGTGGAGAAGGACCGGGCTACACTTGGATTATCCAATTGGCGCCACGTAGCGAAAAGAAGAAACTACTGGCGCGCTGTTGTTAACTCGACTATAATCGCGTAAACGGGGTTTATGCCAATTAAGAAGAAGAAGAAGGTGCCAAGGATAAAAATCTTGTTTGTTTTGTTCTATGTTCACTTATACTCAATTTTCTGCAGTGAGGCATGCGTAGTAATTTGGAAAGAATTGTGATTTATGTATGTACTAAAATTCCGAAAAATGCTCTAAAAATATCACATTCTTAGCGCAACAACTTTTTCAGCTTTAGTGAGAGTCGATTTGGGTCAGTCTTTATTTTATTTTTTAATCTGCTCCTTTCGTAGCAATTTGTTGAACGTGCGCCTATTAAAGAAATAAAACACTTGGCCGGTGGGCAGATATCTTTGTAGCGTCGCTGTTTTCAGTAATTTTGAGTTATTCTTCTTTAGTCTGATTTTACTACTTTGTTGTTTCTTGCCTTCTGCAAATTTATTGCGCTACTCGTGCTCTAAAAACGACTATTTTTTTTAATAAATTCCTTTTATCTTCACTTTTCTAAACCTCGCTTTTATTGCTCTTTGCATTTATTTAATTATTCGTTTATTACCATAAACATGAACACAAGTGCGCATTTTTCTACATTTTATGAAAATTTTACAAACAGATTTTATGTTTCACCAAAATAAAAAAAATATAATATTAATATTTTTTTAAGGATTTAGGTGTATTTTTCCAAAAATTGGGTGGTTTTTTTTGGACATGCACATTTTCAAGATTAATCTTATATTCAAATTGCAGGTGGTAGTATTTTCAAATTGATTATTTTTAAGGCTTGAAGAAAAGTGTATATTTTTCGCAGTTCCTTCAGGTGTTCACTTACATAGAAGATGTTTAAGACAGTTTTAACGGAGAAAATCACGTTAGCTGTTAGCTTAAACAAAGTGTTTAATTTTTAAAAGAGTACCATGAACTCGCTTTAAACACTTCTTATTTTGGGTTTAATGAAAATACGAGACTGATTTAAAAAACATTGGGTAGATTTTCAAAACAAACTTTCTCTTGAACTCGCATTGACCGCAGATTATTTTGGTATTATGAGAATGCAATTCTATTTAAAACACTTATTATAAATATATATGGMATTCAGCGGCAAAGAGAAGTAATTTAAATTTTAGCTCGTTGTAAAAAAAAGATTTTAGGTAACATTAAGCTCAGAGTTCTTAAAGACCTGAGGACATTTGATGTTCTTTATTTTAAATACAATTAAAAATATTATTCTGTTAGTATTTGTCATTTTCATTTGAGGTAATATTATATCTTATTCAATCTTGATTTCGAAAGAGATATCGAGTTTCAAATTTAATGGAGAAAAACTACCCAAAATCTGCCCAGCGAAATGTTCTTTCAATAAATCTTTTAAAACCAAATGTTCCGACTTTAAATCAACATAAAAAGAAAAATAAATATTCTGAACATAAAAAACCCAAAAACTAGGATATTTGATTTATCTTTAAATTATGCAACAAAGGTGTTAATACAAAAGTTTCTTTCCATTTAACCTTTTTCGTTAGCGCTCGTATTTTTCCCGGAAATCGAAGTAATTAATTTATAACCTTTAACAATTATACCACATTCATCCGCTCCTTTTTTCCAAGTTCAGATCGCCCGTTAATTATTTTTCTTTTCAATTTTGTTATCTTATCTTTTATTACAAATGAGTTTCATTCAATTACGATTTGCACATAATAGCTCATTTAATTATATCATTAGTTTTCATGCTGCAAAATTTGGTAAATAGGTGGCAAAATTTATAAAGTTATCATATACGTTGTTTTAACATAGAATTTAAAAAAAAATAGGTGATACAAATTTCATTGCAGATTATATTCTTATAGTCTGCTTAGCCAAAGATTAAATCCTTTTAGCAAATCCCAAGCTTCTGCTGGTATTAATGTTCAGTTACAATACTTTAACTCCTTTATGAAAATTTAATATTTATAAATATACACTGTGCCCAAAAAATTAGGTGACATTGTATTTATTTTGAAAATTCTTTATTCTTCCAAATCAACTTCATCCCCTTCAAAGTAATCCCCTCCTGATGCAATGCACTTATGCCAACGGATTTTCCAATCTTCGAAACACTGGTTGTAGTCACTTTCCGGGATGGCCTTCAGTTCCGTCTTCGCTGCGGCTTGAATCTCCTCTATCATATAAAAGCGATGTCCGTGGAATTGTCTCTCCACAATTCCTTAAATTAACATCGTTAAACAGTCAACATGACCTTGATTTTTGAGCGACTTTAGCACGATTTTTTTGGTGTCGGCTCTCTTTTGGCACGATATTCGGTCGATTGATCAGTTGTTTCGGGGTCGTAAGCATAGATCCAAGTCTCATCGCCAGTTGTAATGCGTTTCATGACACCCTGGTAGTCGAAAAGTATCGTTTCACACCCTTCAACGCGACGCCTTTTTTTCAAACAATTCAATGTTTTCGGTACCAGTCGAGATTTGGTTGAGGCCCAAAACATCCTTCAAAATCGTATTGGCTAAGCCTTTCGATATGCTAACTTCATTAGCAAGGTCTCTAATTGTTAATCGACGGCTTTTTAATACCAAATCTTTGATTTGTTGAACGTGAGCTTCGTCGGTTGAGGTTGATGGTCGCCCTGGACGCTCTTCGCCTTCGACACGTTCACTGCCGGCTTAGAACTCACTATACCACTTGTAAACATTTTTTTAGACATAGCCTCATCACCAAAGGCTCAAGAAACCTTGAGGATGTTGCAAAAAGCCTTTGGGGATCTAAGTCTGTATTCTAAATTGTTTACAAGTGGTATATTATTTGAGCGTTATGTGCCGTTTACGTGAAGCTTTTTGCCTCAAGAGGCCATAATTGTGAGCCGAAAACTTTTGGTTTCGGCAACAAGATAATGCGCCATCGTATACTGCCTTGGTGATTTGCGATCATATCGCCAAAAATTCAACAAATACCGTTCCGCAGCCAACATTTTCTCCTGATTTAGCCCCGTGTGAATTTTGTCTGTTCAGAAAACTCAAAAAACCACTTTGAGGACACCGTTTTGATTTAGTTGAGGATAGAAAAGCTGAATCGAAGAAGGCCATCACGACGGAGGACTTTTCCAAGTGCTATGAGGACTGGAAAATTCGTTGGCATACGTGTATCGCAGAGAAAGGGGATTACTTTGAAGGTGATGAAATGGATTTGCAAGAATAAATAAAGATTTAAAAAATATAACAAAATTCTCTTTTCAATTTGATCACAGTGGTATATTGATATCACTTTTGAATCCACACTTTTTGGCAACTTAACTTGTAACCTTAATTTTACTTTTCTTCTTATCGCTTATTCTTTTCTATTATTCTTTTGCTTTGCAGGTGTGAGAACGTCATGACTTGTCCAATACGACCAATAGGTTCCGGCAAGGAACACTGTCCCTACGATTGGCTTGCCGTCTATGATGGTCGCGATGAGCATTCGCCACTTATTGGCAAATTTTGTGGGCTGGGCAAATTTCCGTTTAGCATTATTGGTAAGTACTATTTTTTTTAGCTATGGACAAAACTACAAATTGGTTTTATGTATCCAAAAGTTCTAAACAACTATATCTGAAGGGTTAAATGTGATGAACTGAAAAATAATTTTAAAACATTAAAAAAAGTTGGAAAGGATTATTTGGATTGTTAACATCAGAAATAAAAAAATTTATAAAGGATTACACTGATTGTTACCATCAGAAGTGATATTTGTGATATTATGATATGATAGTTTCCTTATACCCACGCCGGCAAAGTGGTTACACGGACACACATTTTAAAGGCTCATAAAATACACTTGATTTTTTTCTCTTTCCTTAAGGTATTATGATTAAATGTATTGGTAAATTTTCCCTCGGCTACAAAATATTTCAGGCTCTTCGACTTTTTTCGAATCTTGGGGTCGTAAACTTTCTGTTGTCAATAACAGCTGACTAAGGTTATTGCAAATTCTGATTGTCATTATCCCTTTATTTGTATTCGTATTCGAAGAACCTTAACTTTATTTATATACCTTAACTTATGTATATAAATAAAATATACTTCAGAAATATTTAGAGCGTAGTATCGAGTTAACAGTTCTTTTTCAGTTGAAAAAGGGGATCCGCTTCGGTTACGTAAAACGGACTATCGTGGAAAGAGTTCATCGACATCGTTTCTGTATTTCTGATAACATAAGATATCCTTACCATTATTTTGTTTAAGATCTGTGCAGTAAATACGGCTTGTTATTGAGCAGTATTTTGTTAGAATACTATGTACATATATTGTGAAGTGGAAGTGCGTGGGAAGAAAGTGGATAGGAATGAGGTGCCTAATTTGGAATAATGAAGTGTAGAATAAGATCTGTGGATATATGATTGAAAGGAGAATTTCAGTTTTGACTACCTCCGATTTTTCCTAAGCCTATTTGAAAAGCAAAATGTCCGGCAACAGATCTCGAATCACTATTCAAAGTAAGCATTCTTGCCGATTCGGGAAAAAATGAAAATTGTAGAAAAAATATCACATGTTCTGCTGCCCTCAATAAGGATGGCTATTTAGCTGTTATTATATTAAAAAAATATTCTATTTTAATTCAAATTTGTTAAACTAAATAAATTAATTATTTCCATATTCCACATATACTTTAGATAAATTATAATATTTTATTTGTTACTTCCTCGTATCATATTCGCAAAAATATTTATTAAAATGTATGATTTTTTACTCAAGACTATTTACGAATACATATATGAAAACTTCTGTATGTTCAAATGTGAAACAAAGCATATTTCCTCATTCACACAACACAGCTCAATTGTACAATTATGCATTTGTTCCAAAGCACATACATACACATGTACGAGTATATATATGCAAATATACATCTAAGCATAGCATACGTAAAGCGAGGTCTGTGCGTCAAACTAAATTTCAAAATATGGTCAATGGCATTTTGTAGCTGGTAAATAGGAAATAGCAAATATTTAGCACAAAAACAACAATAAAGCACATCTAAGGGGGGTGAGGCAAATGGACAGGAAGTTAACGGAACAATCAGCAGTAGCATATGAATGCCTAGGAAAAAAAAGACCAATGTGGATGGATGCAGTTTAAAATGGATGTTGATGCTGCCACAACGCTGGCTAGCCATTACGTTATTTAAGTTAATTAGATGCAATGAATTTAACTGGATGCGGGTAAAGGCGTTGCCGCAGAGAAAATATTGAGTTGTTGCATGCGTAAGTCAGTGAATGATTGAATGGAAAGGATCCTTTGTATGAGCCATAGCCACGACCGCACCCCAAAGAGGTGGGTAAATTTAGAAGTAATATTGTTAAGATTGATCTTGAAGTGACATCTGAAATACTTACAGTTGCAAATAAAATATTATGAAATCTCAACAAAAATCTCACCTTGGCGTAAATACCATTTTGTTTATGAATACAATTCTGATACATACATTTTATTATGTAGTATGTATGTAAATATGTGGTTTCTTTTGTATATGTACATTTTTTTGTATCACTATTGTTGTGCATATGCATATATTAGCAACAATAATTGCTATAAGAACGCCGTAGCTAAGTAGTCATCTAACATTCGAAAGACGGTGTAAAGTTAGGTAAAAGCCGTGGATCTGCCACAATTTGTGTGCGTCGATGGGAATGAATATAGCATTCGTATTCACTGCGACAGATGTAACCGGATCTGACTACAATTGCACCGTTGTTTAAGTAAAAGTCCATCTGTGGGATGGAAGAAAACATACAGATGGCCAAGAGAAGCTAAAGTTTCTACCATTCTCTTTAAATAATGTTGCAGGTGTAATATAAGAATCGAGTTCGCTAGGTTAAGTATACTGTAAATAATGAAGGTATTTACATTTAAGCTACATGCATAGACCTTTAACCTGTCCACTGTAGTATCTGTAGTATATTTATCAGATGGGCTGAAAATTCTCTATCTGTGGAACAGTTTTCGATTATACACGCATTCACTGTGTTCCCCACAGCTGGTCTCAGCAGCCGTTTTCGACGTTCACACTTCAAATAAATATACGATAACAACACATCAACATCAATGGAGTAAAGTTCGAATATAACAGCCATAAATGGCAGCAGTCACGCATACACACGTAAAATTCTAAATTTCTACTAGGCATAAGAGAAATACGTACGCGCCTCAATTCATTTCCATGTTTATGCAATTCTCTACACTTACATCTTCTCCTTTTGTACATCATTGCTTTTTCTCTCTATCGGTTTCACAGGCACCTCGCAATACATGTACGTCGAGTTCGTCACCTCACCGGCGGGCCCGCTGCTCAATACTGGTTTTCATTTCAATGTTGGCAATTGGCCTGGGCACGTCGAGACAGCGGGCATCAAGCATGGCATATGTGATTGGCTGCTCAGCTCCGACTCGCTGAAGGATAGTAGTGCCAGTGAGGGCATATTTTTGAGTATCGCTCATTGGTATCCGCCGAATACGTCGTGCAGTTATCACATTAAAGGGCGAATAGGCGAAATTGTGCGGTTATACTTTCCAAGGTAAGTGGAACAAAATATTACAATGTAATTAATGATCCATGTAATGTCATTTCTGGGACATTTCGGTGAGGATTTGGTCGATACTGTACACTCAAACGTTTATCGAGCTACGAACAATTATGAGAAAAACCTGCTACACATTTTTCGTGGATTGGATATTTTGTTTACCTAAAGTGTGCAATTTGTTCCATTAACATTGTTTTAAACCAATAAAGTTTCATATAATCTTATATTTCATGATTATCAGTGTCGAGAGAAGGAGGAGTAGTAATTATGACTATTTCTTATATCCTGGACAATGTATATTAAGTTTGCCAGAAAATTTGTAACACATAGGAAGGAAACAACAAAATCTTTATAAAATATTATATATATATTAGAGTATATATAAAGATATAGATATATATGATCAATGTGATGTGTATGGTTGATTTAGTCACATCAGTCTGTCTGTTCGTCTGGATATAGAGGAATTAGCGTGTGAGAGGCTCACCCCAAAAAAAATATATTATTTTAATATGCATATCTTAGCAAAATCATTTGTTTCTATTATTGCTGTTTTACGAATCGACATACTTTTCTATGTGATCTCTAACAAGCTTCTGTTACTATCCTTATTTTATGTAAACATATATATTCCATAAGCACACTTTGTATCCTATGTACTGATTTTATGTTAATACATTTCCTCACTTAAATACCTAGCAAATGTAATTCTCAAAATACTTTCAGACCACTCACTACAAGTAAAATAGCATCAATTATGTCAACGGCTTGGCTTGTGTGAAAAATTACAGCGCACGTATTTTGCCGCTACTCATGTTACAAGAATATCGGGTGTAATGTTGCCATCGACTCAGTTAAGTTAACCGAGAGGCACGATAGTAGCTCTAAAATCGTAATAAATGTTCGCTTTGTGAAAATGTGGTGACTTATATTTATAACTTTACCCTTTTCGACAGGAATTTGTTATGCAATTTCTTAATAAAGTCGAGAACAAAAGAAGGCGAAGCATCAGTAACAGCCAAAGTATAGATACTTGAATGCAGAAATTCACTGTAATAACTAAAAGAGTGTCTCAGAACATAGTGAAGTAATGTAGCAAGATTATTTGATAGCCATTTAAGTTAAGGTTTAGCGAGCGTTCCACCAAGCGACAGAAATATTTGTGTGTATGGGCACAAGTAAAGCCCGCCTTGATGCCTCAGCAATGTAAACCACAAAAAGCTTAAGTTAAGCAAAAGCAGATGAAATACTGTGAGCAATCAAAGTCACAGCACGGAGAGAGAGAAGAGTTGACGGGCAAAAGGCAGCGCAATGGCATTCAAGCAGATAGCAAGCTTAACAATGTAGTAGCAATTCACATTAAACGCTACTTTGAGCAGTTGGCGGAACAGTTTTTGTTGTTACATGCAATGCAAATCAACATATTATGTTATAGTAGTCCGATATCGGCGGTCCCAAATGAGCAGCTTCTTGTCAAGAAAAGGAAGTGTTCGAAATTTCTGATCAATATCTCCAAAACTCAGAGATTACCTTTTATCATTATACTAAAACACTTTTTTCACCCAAAACAAGTAAGGAAGGGCCGTGAGGTAAAGTGATATAAGGAAGTTTCGTTTATATTATATTTTAGTTAAAAGTTAGAAATATTGTATCCATTATTTATAACCATAAAAAGAAGATATACTGTTTAGATAAACTGTTTAGAAAGATATTTTTCTTGATTTTTATTAATATGTCTTTATATTAATCGATATATGCGGAATAAAGTCAACCGGAAGTTCGAAAATATTAATTTAAAATACCTAGGGGGTTTAAAAAGTATTGACTAAATTTTTTCCCATTGTTATTACAAAGGCATGTCATGACAAACTATTTCCCAATTTCACATATTTGATGTCAATGTCCTTGAAATGCTATAGTCCTTGAGGATACTAATTGTGTAAATTTTAATCTGATAACTTTGTTGACGATTGATTGGTATTTTGTAAAAAGAAAAACGAATCAGTATAAAGTCACAAGTTATTATAAGCAAATATATTTTTATTTACTTATTTATTATTTGTAAAATAATAATACAATTATTATTATACATTAAACATAAGGAGCACTAGCTACAGAGGCTTTCACCTCACGGTTTAATTATAAACGACTTAAATAATAAAGATGGAACCTTCCATGTAGGAATTATTTACAAGCAATATGTTTTTATGAAGTAAAAATTATATGTTATAAATAAGTTTAAAAGGAAGGATAACTTAAATATATTTCTTTAACTTTGTACACGATAGGAAATCTGATATTTTAATGATGTTTACAATAGATGTTATTTTTAATAAATCAAGAGCTTTATTATTCTGAAAGATACTGGTTCTTGCTGAGTTGAAGAAGGGGAATTCATCTGGTAGATGTGTTATGGAACGACGAAGGCGAACAAAAGCTTTTATAAATATCTTGGCAACACCCTGACGGTGGATAAGCAGGTTTTTTCTCCTCTTGGTTACAGGTGGCGTAGTGGTGTTGCACATTCTTCCAAGCATTAACTTTTATAGCTTTTTGTTTTGAAGCGATTAAATGGATTATGTCGTTTTTTTCGATTTAATCGAAGATAATCAATGGCTGTTTTGCCGCTAATTTGGCGTTGTGATCGGCCCATTCATTTCCAGTAATACCGGTCTGTCCAGGGATCCACATAATTTTTAAGTTTGTTTTCTCAATTAGTATGCTTCTAATTTGCGCAATGAGGTAGGATTTGTTAGATGCATTTAAAAGAGCTGAGATTGTAGACTTGCTAACAGTACATATAAATTTTTTTAAGTTAGATTTTTGTACTGGGGATAGCGCATTATAAATGGCTGCTGCTTTTGCGGTGAATACTGAGCTGTAATTGAGCAGGAGTTCAGCTTTTAATGTATTTCCAACGTTATCGACAATAGCAAAAGACGTGTAGAAATCGGCCTTCGATGCGTCAGTAAAAATGAGTTGCCAATCTACGTAGTGTTGTACAATGAGCTCTTTGAACAAACTTTGATGTACCCTGGAATTTGTGTTCTTTTTATGATGTTTTTGAAGATATAGCTCGAACGAAGATTCTTTGAGTAGCCATGATGGGGTAAAAGAAATAGACTTTTCCTCAGGTATGTCATACCTAGATCTTTAGCTAATTTAATGCATTTAGAAATAGTGGAAAAAGTATTGGAGTTTGTATCGTCGGTGATGTTGGGAATGCCCGAATACTTCTTCTAACCGCTGCATGATATGGTGCAAGTATTTGCTGTATGTTGCTTTTGGCACAATTGCCGTAGATAGGGAGACCATAATCAATCTTAGATAAAATTAAATCTCTTGTAATATTGATAAGAGAAGAAGTGTGAATTAATCAATATTTATACTCTCGCAACAAAGTTGCTAATGAGAGTATTATAGTTTTCAGTAGTTGACATAACGGTTGTTTGTAAGTCCTAAAACTAAAAGAGTCAGATATAGGGTTATATATACCAAAGTGATCAGGGTGATGAGTAGAGTGGAAATCCGGATGCCTGTCTGTCCGTCCGTCCGTGCAAACCGTAACTTGAGTAAAAATTGAGATATCATGATGAAACTTATAACACGTATTTCCTGGCTCCATAAGAAGGTTAAGTTCGAAGATGGGCAAAATCGGCCCACTGACACGCCCACAAAATGACGGAAACCGAAAACTAAGCCATAAATAAAGATAGTAAAATGAAATTTGGCACACAGAATCGTATTAGGGAGGGGTACATTTGGACGTAATTTTTTTGGAAAAGTGGGCGTGGCCCCGCCACCTACTAACTTTTTTGTACATATCTCGAAAACTACTATAGCTTTGTCAACCAAACTGTATAGAGTCGTGTCTTTTAGGCATTTCCATATACAGTTAAAAAATGGAAGAAATCGGATAATAACCACGCCCACCTCCCATACAAAGGTTATGTTGAAAATCACTAAAAGTGCGTTAACCGACTAACAAAAATAGTCAGAAACACGAAATGTTAGAAGGAAGCTGCATCCAGGTTTTTTTTTTAAATTGAAAATGGGCGTGGCGTCGCCCACTTATGGACCAAAAACCATATCTCAGGGAGTACTCTACCGATTTCAAAGAAATTCGGTATATAAAATTTTCTTAACACCCTGATGACATGTACCAAATATAGGTGAAATCACATATTTTGCCGTTACTGACGCTGTAAAACGAAAAATTTAGATAGAATTTTAAAGTTTTTTCATGGAAAGTAGGCGTAGGTTGTCTTCCGATTTCGCCCACTTGCACAGTTTATCCAGAATAAATTGGGTAACTTCACACACCAAATTTGGTTCAAATTACTAAATAGTTCCGGAGATACAGGCTTCACATAAAAATGGGCGTTTCCACGCTAGTTTTCCAATTTTTAATGCGTCTTCTATAAAACCCTTTCATACCATCTTGGTTATTATACATACAAATATGACTATTCCTGTTTTCACAATAAGTTTATTAAAAAATATTTGGAAGATATGTGTATTAAACGATTTTGGTGTTGGATCACGACCACATTTAACAACATTTAGAAGAGCAGTTGTCCTCGCTACTCTGAGTACTTTTATTAAATTACAGTTATGTAACTTAATTAAGTGTTTAGTTATGGCTCTTTTAATGTTTTCTTTTAATATTATAACTTGTTTTAGACCGATTACGCTCATCTGCAATATCAAGTTCCAATTTTATATCTCGATTTCTAGTCAAGTTATCGTTTACAGGAACAGATGGACGGACAGATAGACAGTCAAGCGGTTCTCGTTTTGTCATCGTGATCATTTATCTATATTTAACCCTATATCTATGTCTATTAGTTTCAGATGATACAAACAATTGTTTGGTGAAGAAAACTGTTGTACTCTGTAGTAGAATATATAATTTAACTCCTTCACGCATTGGCCATTTGACCATTACTCGATTTAAATTTGTTCATGTAAACTCCAATTGATTTTGACATTCT